CGGTCTCTTCTGAATCTTTTGTGATTTCTAATTTGGGTATATCGCTCACCGAAAGGTGGTGTGATCTCGACATCCTTTTTAATTTATTAACCGCATCAATCTGGGAAATTTTTTAAATAGGCAGTATTAAATAAGGTGAAATAACGATAGTTTAATGAGACGAATATATATATGCGTATCATACCACTGTAAAAATGCTTCTGATGCTAATAGGCTTAATAGCCGAGCTCAAATCGTCTTCGGTAATTTCCGTGACCATTTCGGTACAATTCTCTTCTGTGGATATCAGTGGATCATTTCCATGATCGGTTACCCACGGATGCTCCTGAAATATTAAAAAAAAAAAAACGATTTTTTTTTTATTCATGATAGTAGACAAGGAACATATATGTATATATGCATGCAACTAACACGAAGCTCTTTCATCACAATTCTTTCCGAAGGATCCTTTTCGAGAACCTTATGAAGTAGATCGGCTAGGCTGGGATCCGTATTTTTTGGAACTGTGATACTAAAATATGCAAAGTCATAACAGTTAGTAGATCGACAAATGTTTAGTTGAATTTTAAGTGTTCGACTTACTCATCATTCTTTATCGACTCGTACAAGTCGATAATATTATCTTTCTCGAATGGTAGGCACCCAAAGGCAAGACAATATAAGGTCACACCCATCGACCAAATGTCGGCAGCTTTTCCGGAAATTTCGCCATGGTGGGCTAAAAAAGATTAATAAAACATTTTTTGACAGTTAATGGTAATTTCCTCTGAGAAGGCCGTGTAGACTTCCGATTCAATAAGAATAATACCTTTGCATAATTCCTAAGATTTCGCAAGGAAAAAAAAAGGATAATTGTTGTAATCATATTATTACCCAATAATCACAAATAATTTAAAAATAAATTTACCGGAGCCATAAAAGCAGGACTGCCTGCTGATTTTTTTATTTTGTCATCCCCTTTAAATATTTCGGAAACACCGAAATCCACAATTTTTAGGACATCATCTTTCGATAGGAGGAGATTGTCGGGCTTGATATCTTTGTTCAGATTTGAAAAAACATTAGATGAATTTTAATTTAAAAAGTTTTCATGTATGCACCAACCTCGGTGAACAATTTCATTTTCATGCACTATAAGTAAAAATAATTATAGCAATCTAGTAAATTTCGATGAGC